TACTGTTATGAATCAGGCAACCCCTGTGAAAGGGTTGTTCAACTCCTAAAGGGATTGCGACCCACAGGTTGAGAACCGCTGCTCTAGCATCTGCGCAGGTTGAGTATCTGGGATTTGAAATGTCTCGATTCACTGCAGGTTTCACCCTTCTGGCTGCTGAGATTGTCCCCTTTTTGCCAAGTGAGATCCTCTTCGAGACGGCTCCTGAATGTCTTGGACGAGATCCTAACAGCCTCGGGTAGTCTGTTTTCTTGCTAGCACATTTAGATGGTCGCAGCTAGTCGTGTGCATTCACTGCCCAGACCTGAAATGACCCATCGCGTCAAAGATCCCTGGCTCCTTTCAGCAGTGTAGACTGGGCCGTATTGTTGCTGTTTAAAGAGAACACGTCAAGAGTGCGCACAAGTTTTTCCGATTTAAATTCAGGATAGCGAGGGTTTTTTATTTTTATTTTTTAACGATTGCAAGTTTCTTACCTTAGAACCCCCGATCTTGTAGCTCTGTCTTCTTTGCCTCACACCAGCAGCCTCAGTTGTCAATGAATTTCCCATCCCCAGTAGAGCGCATGATCTACTTTATCCTGTGATCCAGCTAGCACTTACACCAACATGACTATTGAACTTCCTTTTCATTATGATACTTTCTTTTCTTGAATATCATCTTTTTTTTAATGAATCATTTTATTGGGGGGGGCCTCTTACAGCTCATATAACAATCCATACATCAATTGTGTCAAGCATATTTACACATATGTTACCATCATTTTCTAAACATTTACTTTCTATTTGAGCCCTTGGTATCAGCTCATTTTTTTCCTCCCTCACCCTCCCATCCTTGTGACCCCCTTGATAAATTATTGTTTTCATATCTTACACCATCTGCTGCCTCCCTTCACCCACATTTCTGTTGTTCTTCCTCCTGGGTGGGGGGGCGGTGATCTATGTTAATCACTGTGATTGGTTTTTCTCCTTTTCCCCCTTCCCCTCCCATCTTTCTCCTACCCTCATGGTATGCTACTCCCATTATTGTCCCTGAAAAGTTTGTCTATTCTAGTTCCGTGTGTCGAGAGCTCTTATCTGTACCAGCGAACATGCTCTGGTCTAGCTGGATTTATAAGGTAGAACTAGGGTCATGATGGGGGTGGGGTGGGGAGAGAACATTAAAGAAGTAGAGGAAAGTTGTATGTTTCATCGGTGCTATACTGCACCCTGACTGACTCATCCCTTCCTTGTGACCTTTGTGTGAGGAGATGTCCAATTGTCTACAGATGGGCTTTGGGTCCATTAAGATGCTTTTTTACAATTCTTTCGTCCTTAGGCTTTTCAGCTAAATCCCTGTGTGCTCTGTGGGGGTATGCCACCAACTCAGCTCATTTGTCGAATCCTGTTTTTGATTGGGGGGATTGCTTTGTTTGTTCTACATGAAGATTAAAGAGTCCAGTGACAGATCTGTCAGGGAGTCTAATTTCTCTTTCCGATTTCCCCCCTTTTTCTCTACCTGTTGTAGTGGACTTGATGGCAGAGCGTTTGGTTTTTAAGTCTTTGATTCATACTCAGGAAATCCATACCTTAATATTTACGTGTTCTCGAAATTTTAAGTGCCCAATACTTGCCATGCACTTCAGTAGATAGTCTAGTGCACAAAGGTTGAATGGGACATAATTCTTATCTTCTACAGTTTATGATCAAAGGAAAGGTTTGTGTATGGTATTAGGATATAGCTTCAAGGGCAAGTTGCAGGCAAGCTAAGGAATTTAGACATCATCCTCTAATAACTTAATCACTACTATTGAATCAATTCTGACAGGGTAGAACTGCCCCTTTAAGTTTCTGAGACTGTCAATCTTTAAGGAGCAGAAAGTTGCCTCTTTCTTCCAAGGAGCAATTAGTGGGTTTGAACCACCAACCTTGTAGGCTAACACAGAACCCACTACATACCAGGGCACCTTCTGTCATGTTGTTGTTGTTGTTAGGGACCAGAGTCAGTTCTGACTCAAAGCCACCTACGTACCAGGGAATGAAACCCTGCCTGCCCTGCGCCGCCCTGGCAGTCATTATGTTTGAGCCTCTTGTGGCAGCCACCAAGGCCGTCCATCTGGTCAGGGGTCTGCCTCTTTCTCACTGTCCTTCTGTACCAAGCTGATGTCCTTTTGAGAGACTGGTCTGTCCTCATGATAAGTTCAAAGTACACGAGACAAAGTCTCCCATCCTGGCTTCCGAGGAGCGTTCCTGCTGCCCTTCATCTCAGACACAGGTCAGTTCTTCTGGCAATCCGTGACAGGACTGTCAATATTCTTCACCAGAACCGGAATTCAAATGCACGGAGGCTTGTTTTGATCCACGGAAGGCATCCTGAAAATGGAGACGGGCTTCTTCAGTAAGTCTCCTGTTAGCTGCTGCTCAAAGTAGAATAAGATGTAGTCTGCGTTTCGCTCGTCTGAGTCTGAGTAACGCTCTGTGAGTGCTGGTTGAAGGGATGGACGGACGAAGGAAGGCACTGCATTAGGAATGGAGACCTTGGGGAGCGCACATGGTTGAAATAAGTGAAAGGTTGCTTTAAACCCAGGCAGCGGCACCTCAGCAAACAGACCTCTCCATCCCCATATACACACAGGTGGCCGAGGGTCAAACCGACGCAGCCACCACCCAGGACGGCAGCGTTGGAAAGAGCATGGAAAGGGTGGAAGAGACAGCTTGAGGAAACGATCACACGGAGCTCTGAAATTCAAAATGGCAGGCGCTGGAAAGAATCAGCTAACGAGGATTCAACCTAGCTATCTGGATGAATGCAATCCGCACCACCAGGAACACCATTACATAAAGAGGGTTGTTTAGCCAGGCCGAGCAACAAGGACTGTGAGGGCAAGTTAGCCATCCCTCCGCCGCAGTAGTTAGTTGGAGAAGATAAGAGAGGCCACCTTGGAGGGATAAAGGTAAAAGCATGGGGACGGATGACACAATTTTAAGAGAGCCCACAGGGAGTGAAAAGAGGAGCTAGCTATGGGGAAGTAGGAGTCAGAATCAAAAATATATACATTAAAAATCGAAGAAAGTGAGTTATCACTTCAGCTCAGGAAGTTCCTAGGAGGGGTGATAATCCCCTGTGGGAGGCTGCTGAGATGCCGATCACCTTTCCAACTTCGGCCTGCTATGCGCTGCCACACGGCCCCTTCTTCGCTTCGCTCTGTGTTTACAAATCTGCTCTTCTACCCAGGGAGACAAGTTCTGTTTTCAGCGTGTGATGCTGGACCCCACACCTGCCCCTTACTTCCTTATTGTTCTTACCACAGTGAGATTGTGGGTGCTTCTGTTTGTGTTCTGGGTTTGATTTGTAAAGGTTTCAAGAAAAATGATACCGAGTCTTTTCCCTAGGACTTTGTAAAAGCTCAGTGTAGTCACAGAACAGTTTGGCTTCTGTATCTTTTTGGCATCGGCCTCAGACGCCCTTTGGCGTGAGACTTCACTGCACACACTTCTGATACAGGGCAGCCACGCGAATCGATGGGCTTCTTATCCCCAAATCGATGTTTTCCCCCCTTCAAGTCACCTCCTTCCAGACAGCAGGTGCATTCATGGTTGTGCAACTTTGGGGAGTCCCTTTAGGGAATTTCCTGTTTTTCCCTTTTACATTTCACACCCCTTCCTTGCTCCTGCCGCTACCATCTGCTCTCTCTTTTCTCCTCTTCAGCATTGGCTTCTTCACACCCCACTCCCACGCCCCTCTCCATCTCCCTCCGTCTGTCCAACAAGCCTTGTACTCAGACTGCTCCAGTGCTCGTACACGGAGCAGAGAACTTTCTCTTTCCTAGCAACTCCCTGGGCTCAAGGGAGCCAAAAAAATAAATGTATGTCGCCTCTGACAAAGGTCTCTGTGAACTCGACAAGCAGGATCAATAGACACAACATAGGTGATTTGTGTCAGGGTGGGGGGTGAAACAAGGCACCAATGTTTCAGAAATAGCTTGCCAGACCCCTACATTATGGGGCATGCACTTACTGCATTCCCAGGGGTGAAATCTTTACCAGGGTATGGATTACCACCTTTAGCCACCAGGCAGTAGGGGTGAGGGCTGGGGTGGGGGAGTTAATGACCATAAGAGAAAATACATATGTCTAAAGTTTAACTGCAAATGAAAGCACGGGGCTGGCTGCCCTTGAATGTCATCGGCTGAACGATGTACTTACTACCTAGCAATATTTGCTGTTGAAATGACCTTAGGCATCGACTTCTGAAACTCTTGATCAGGCTGCCTCAAACTACGGCCCGCGGGCCACATGCTGCCCGCTGAGGACATTTATCTGGCCCGCTGGGTGTTTTTGCCCCATTTTGTTTTTTACTTCAAAATATGATATGTGCATAGGAATTTGTTCACAGTTTTTTTAAAAACTATAGTCTGGCCCTCCAATGGGTCTGAGGGACAGTGAACTGGCCCCGTTTAAAAAGTTTGAGGACCCCTGCTCTACGTGGCATAGCAGAAAGGTCCTTCCTTGTCAAAGACCGAGGTCCCTCCTTGAATTTCTTTTGGGGAGATGTGCAGAAGTAGGATGTTTGAGATAGAACTTTTGAATGACTGTAATTGACATGCCATTGAGATCGTCTGGGGAGACCAGAACTCTTCACTCTTCAAGTGAGTACTGGGTGGGTCTGAGTATCTGGCTTCTCAATCGTTGGATATTTGCCTAGTGTGTCCCTCCATCCCTTTTACCCCCTCTACTGTAGGTGGTGGCACAGTTATGTTAATGCTCTGAGCAGTTTTCGAGGAAATTCTTTTTGCGAGAATGACTGGCCTTTAGTAGCTATTTAAAGTGAAGAGACACAACGTGGAAGTGCCACTACTCCCGTCTGTTTTAAAATAAGCCCTGCACTTTCCACTTAGAACCCGGGGTGACCGACCAAGGCTCAGCTTTCCTCCCCCAGTTCCCACTCTAAGTCCAGAGAGAGAGAAGCTTGGGGTGTCGGTTGTATATGTCTCTGTACACACACTTGCGTTTCTGTTACAGGAGATAGAAGCAGCAGAAAGGTCTCTGCAGACCAGGAATCATCCATTTCCCCCACCTGAGGTGGCTTCTCTTGAGGTGAGAATCTCCGCAGCTGTAAACGGAGCCGTCTGTCCTGTCCACAGCCCCTTCTTAATGAAACCAGGGTTACGTGTAGTTCTGGCCCTGGGAGCAAAATCCACTGGACACATGTGTATTTTTCCAGATTTCTTTGTCCTCTGGGCTAGGATGTGTCTGATCGACCTTCTATCGCCAGAGTGCCATTCAGAGTGGGTCCCTGATAACTATTTTGGTTTGCCTGTCTTTTTTTTTTACCCCTTTGATAACAGTGCTGGGTCTCCTCACCTGGTCACCTGGAAGGCAGCCACAGCAGACACTTGGCACTAAATCCTGAGGTGACAGTGCTCCTAACCACAGTGCTTGTCCTGGCGGCAGTTTGGTCCCTTCACCAAACACTCCCCAAAGCCACAGAAACGCCGTGATCATGCAGTACAGTGTGGCGTTTGCCTGTTTTCTCTTGCTCCGCTCAAGAACAGATTGGGAAGATGCTTGGCAAAAGTAAACCATATTTGGTATATGAATATGTTAGTGATGAATTCAAACTTACTACATGTGACATAGTTTGCTTAATCTCTTTAATGATCTTCCCGCATACAGTTTTGCTCTCTGCCTAAGCCAGGACATGAAGACCCAAAATTGAAGGCTGAGAATTTGCCTCTCAATTGTGCGGATCTAGGGTAATAAAGAAAGGATTGGGAGAAACTTTGGTACATGCCCTTTGTGCGGCATCTAGGGTAATAAAGAAAGGATTGGGAGAAACTTTGGTACATGCCCTTCTCTTTGTTAAATTCTCCAATCCCAACACTGGCGTGAACAGGGCCCTACACAAGGGGTTAATCCAACCTGGAATGGCTGAGAATCTCTCAACCTTGGGTTTCAGCCAGTATTTTTCCTAGCTAGCCTTGCGAGGCAGGCTGACCTGGATTTTAAGCCTGTTGAGCCATTTCTCAGATCATATGCACACACATGTAGCATCGCTCACCGTTTTCCACCTTCCAAACCTCGTCCTTTTCTAATGCCCATCATGAATAAGTATGCATTCCTGCTGCATTCTAATTCCTTGGCCGAATTTCCCAGAAGGAGGAGGGTGACAGTGATCATCTGATGCAAAATGCCCTGGGAGGTTGGGCCACTTTGGTTCTGTTTGGCCTCTTCCGGGGAGCAACTGAAGAAGCCAGGAGAGCCCCTCTACAGGGTGGTGTGGCATACGCTTCTGTAGCCTACAAATTCCTAGAGTCCAATAACACAGCATCACAATTTTCAAACTGTTCACATCAAAAATGGTTAGGTGATACTGACACAGTGAACTTGGTGGGAAGCGGAGCTCTACGGGGCGCCTGGTCTTTCCCCGTCTCACAAGCCTTCCGCTTTCTAAAGACTGCAGCTTCCCACTCTTCTAGCAAACACATACTCGAGTATAAGCCGACCCGAATATCAACGGAGGCACCTAATTTTACCACAAAAACCATCAAAAATGTGCTGAACCCCCCGGCTTATACTTGGGTGTATTTACAGTATTTGGATTTTCCGTCCTGGCAAGTTTCTGCCTTACACAGGTCTTGCCATATCATTTCCTTATCACACAGCAAAAGTGGGGAGCAATCATGATCCGTCATACCGGGAGTTTTCTGAAAGACGGACCAGACCCCTCATCTTCATAGCCTTGCCCGCATGAGCAGTGGGCCAGTGCAGCGGGGTCAAAACCAGCGGCATGAGCTAGACCGTTCCCTGACTGCACCCCGGGTGAGACCTTTTGATGTTCAATTCTGAAACCCGCTCATGTTTCATGACTGCATTATAATAATTGCAGTAGAGGTCATCCTTCGGTGTAGGATTTGGAACACTCAACAAAGACATGTAATTATGTCTAGCCACAAGTGCTACTCCTGGCATTGACCACAGGTTGGCCACAAGAGGGCGTGTAAAATCACAATAAAATCCCCAAACTTGTCACTCTGCCAGTTTCTGGTTTGACTGAGAAATTTGAAAATTTACACTAGTAAGTAGCCATGTTTTTTCTAAAATTAACAAAGTGTTCTGTAGAGGAAGTGCATTCTCCATATATCTGCGTGCCTGTGTGTGTGTGTGTGTGCATGCGTGTGTACATGCACATGCACACTTAGTGAATAAACATTTAAACTGCTATGAAGAACCAAGCTCAATTCCTTGCTATATATATATATATTTTTTTTAACTTTGTTTCCCCCCCTCCCCCAGGCTCGTTACTGGGCATCCGTGGAAGAATATATTCCCAAATGGAAGCAGGTTCTTTTAGGAAAAGCACCACATCCCATTGGTGTTGAAAATCAAAATGAAGCATAAAATACCGTTCAAAAAAAAATACAGCGATAATTTGTTCACACTGCTACTTCAAGAAAGCCATTTAGGAAGGCTTAACATAAAAGAAGATGGAGGTTATTTCAGAAACGATGGGAATTGAACACTGACATAGCGGTCTGGGACGTCCAGAGTGACGAACGGAAACAAGGGGATCAACTAGGAAGCGCCGAGTCATCCCGAGAGGCTGGCCGCTCTTTCACGAGCCCCAGTCCAGCTGCTAACCCAGGGGACCGTGGGGAACTGCCACTGGAAGGTGTGCCGTTTTAGTGCATCGGTCAATGGAGTGTCACGTGTGTTGACTGAAAATTCACTTACATTCTCACCTGCACTGAATACTGGCTGTCACTTCTGATGTCAACTCGTCTGGAACCTTTACTTTCCAATGACTTCATTATGGGGGAAAAGGGTGGGATCACGATGGGTGTTTGCTTTTATAGTTCCTTTTACTAAATGAAAAGATAGCGGCCTTTGGCTGTTTAGTCTAAAAAGAATACTTTTCTGGAAAGAAAGCTGAGAGGATGTTGTTCGTCATCGATAACGGAGTCTCTACAAGTTGTAGAGACAAAAAGGGCCGAGCTGATGTGTGTATGGATTAGGATAACAGTTGTATGAGCCCCTAATAAAATGTTAAAACAAACAAACAAACAAAAATAAATTAAATTGATTGAAATTTAAAAAAAAAAAAAAAAGGACCGAGCATTTCATAATGCCCAGCTACAGGAGGGCTCAGGCCTGAGCAAGGATTTGATTTGATTTTAAGCACAGATAGCGGTGAGAGCTGGACGTGATTCCTAGATTTTAATTTGGTTTTTAAGGATTGCCAACCCTATCGTGCCCCTCCCATCTTTTCATCTCTCAACTTGCAGCCCCCTCTTACGTCAGGAGGAAGATGAAGCTCTCTGCTCCCATAAAGGTGGATAGCCTGCGAGTCCATCTACAGGTTGATCTGAGGCAGAAACGTGGGAAATGAAGGGAAACGAGCAAGACCTCTGGTAGAAAGAAGTGACACAGCGGTGCAACAATGGACGGCACGTAAGGAGCGATGCGAGCCTGGTGCGGGCCGGGCTGTGCTTTGTTCTGCTGGCCGGAGGGTCGATGTGCGTGAGCACGCACTCCACAGCACCTGACCACTACAGCTTGAGTCCGCACCAACTCGGCGGCAATGGTGCTGTTAATACTACACACATTTTATGATATGCACACAGAATACACCCAGGAGACAGCGTCAGAACAGTCACCGGAAAATGGAATTAAAAGATGAATGGGATTTTCCCACAAACGTTTGGAAGCCCCGTTAACAAAGGGGGTCTGTGCTATAGACTTTAAATTCCCACCTGGGTGGGGTTAGTAAATGAAGACAGCAGGGCAAACTCCTTTTAAAAAGCCCAAACCATCACCTCCCTTGAAAGGTCCATTGTGCTAAGTTCCTTTAAACTGCCATCTTGAGAGTACCCTGTGGAGTGGGTGCTGGGGTGGAGTGGGTGCTGGGGTGGGTAACAATAACGTTGTTTTCATGATACATGCTGGCAGATTAGCACACTTCTCTGCAGTGTTAACAGTTGTAATTAAGGCGTAAACAGCACAGGGTGTCAGTCCGATGACAATTTCATCTATAGTGTCACAATACAAAATGTCACCAAATATTAGAGCTGTTAGATAACTATGAAAAGTACCAGCTGAAAGGCCTGGTAAGAAAAGAAGACAGAGAGAGGAAGACAGGCGGAAGCTGGCGGCGATAGCAAGCCGCGTCTTGCCTCTCAGGAGTGTGTGTCTGGGCGGGGAATTGATAGATTGCTGGGTTGTTTGGTTTGCGTTGTTTTTGTTTGGCTTTTCACCACATTACGGTTTAATTCATAGTCCTCCAGTTGATTTAGCGGGAGAATGCAGATCTCTCCACCGCCCCCCCTCCTGCCCCGTAGCAGCTTTGAATTGGTAAACAGATTTAGATGAAGTAGAAAGGAACATGAGGAAGTTATTATGTTTTGTTTTTAACATCCAGTCTTTCCCAGCATATGCACATAAGAAGGTGAATGAAGCCTGTGAAACTTCCTTCTCTTTACTCAAGGAGAGGAGGGGGAAAAAAATAAAATAAAAAAGGCTAAACATTTGTTGAGATGGTAAAATATTGTGTCAAGCAAGTAGGCATATTCCAAAATTAAATTTTGGTTGATACGTGAACGTCCTCAAATATTTGAGCACACACTTCCTCTGAGATCTGTGAATTAAATCACCAGCAGGTCAGATTAAAATACAAAATGAGTGGCAACCTCTCCATCTCAGAAAAGGTTGGGCTGGGCTTGCTTTCCCCTCCCCACCCAGCCATTTGGCTGACTAGCTCAAAAGAAGAGCCTGCGTTCCCTACCCCAGAGGTCACAGGCTAGGGCAGGAGAGGGGTGTTTGCACACTCCAGTGGTCCCACTTTCCCATTTCGAGTTCATAGTCAAAGACTCCCGAGATGACTCGTGCCTGGCCCCTTCCGATCTTTTCTCTCTCGTCCTTGTGTGGAACAGATTGCACCATGTGGTGTAGGGTTCCTTTTTAAATAATGTTTTTTCTTCCCCATAGGGACACCTGGATACCCCAATTAAGGATCGTCTATCCCTCATGGTGACTTAGCTCCAACAGAGGAATTTTCAAACATTGCTTTCCGTGCACGAGAGAGAAATCCATTTTATAACCTCTCTTTTTATATACAATTAGTAGAACCCAGACAGCACCAAACTCTGCCATCGAGGTGATTCTGACTCACAGTGACCCTATAGGCAGGGCAGAACTGCCCCATGGATTTCTAAGGCTGTAACTCTTTACTGGAGTAGAAAGCCTCATCTGTCCCCCATGGAGCCCCTGGTGGTTTTGAACTGCTGACCATGCAATTAGCAGCCCAACTAGTGACCACAATGCCACCAGAGCTCCTTGACTGTACCTCCAGGGCTCTAGAAATCAGACATGGAGAAAGAAATGTCATCATCTACTCAGGTTTCCTGATAATTCTGTGTCTTTATCACATACAACGTGGTACCTACTGTTCTTTAAGAGAATTATGAATTTGTTTTTGTTTTGAATGATGGTATTTTCAAAATAATGGTTGTGCCAAGAACCGGTTTCCCAAGCCTGTCTTTCTTTCCCTGCTGCAAATGCTTAGATATATAAAGCCCACTTTCTGCTGAAAGACTTCTGGTATATGAAATTATAAAATGTTGAAGATCAGAAAGAGCTGCCGCTTTTCTCCCAACCTCCAAACATAGATCTAAGGAAAAATGCATAAAACTCGGGAAAACCAACTTTTGGCCTTCCTTGTCTGCGAGATTCGGTATGAAGAGCTAAAACCCAAACCCGCTACCATTGAGGCAGTTCTGACTCCAGCAAACCTGCAGGATGGGGAGTCGTGCCCCTGTGGGCTTCAGAGTCTGTAGATCTTTACCGGAATGTCTTTATCTAGAAGAGTTGGTGGTTTCAAACTGCGGTCCATGTGGCTAGTAACCCAGAGAGTGACCACTATGCCACCAGGGCTCTTCTCTAAATGACAGGGAAATCAAACGTAGGCAGTTTTTCTCTGCCTTAAGCATAAGGTCTTAATTTGTCAGTTTAAAGGCTTATGGATAATAATCTTTAACTGGCTTTTACAACAGTGGCTACTCTGCCTCATTCCCCCTTATAAAATAACAAATAGTACAGTAAGTAAGAAGCCAGGCTTATAGACAACTTATTACATTTGCACTTTAATGTTAATATAAATTTGCATTTCCTTTGAAATGATTGATCCAGTTCCCCCTCTTCAATCCCTACTCTAAAAAATTTCTTCATCACCGGTACCTTCGCTTGTTGCGCAGGCAGCTCTTAAGTCCCTGAAAAGACTTCAAGCCTTTTCTTGCAGGAAGTCAGGCTGACTAAGAAGCACGTGCACCTGTTCCAACTTACCCACACATGTGACTGAAAAGACACACCTAGGAGCAGATCGCATGTGGCTCTAACAACAACAACAACAAATGAATATGTGGATATATTGCTCTTTCAATAAAAAAATTTTTTCATGATATTTGGAGGCACCCCAGGCAGGGTGTGAGAAAGAAAAACCAAGGTTTGCAACCACTGTTCTAGACAAGAGAGAGGTGAGAAGTTTCCACCAGAAGGTAGGTTTTAAGATGTAAAATGTAATGCATAAGACCATAAATGGAGCTCTTCTACAAAACACCTTTCCTTTTCCTTCACTGGTCTATTAATTTGCCTTTTTCGGACTCACTCACTCTCTTACTC